ATAGATAGATAGATAGATAGATAGATAGATAGATAGATAGATCCTGAGTGAATCCAAAGTATAGGACTGGTGCCACATTAACACCCTAATACAATTATGTGCAGCTGACAGCATGGGAAAGTTCTGCACTGCTAACCTTAAGCGCACCAGTTAAGGACCATGGACAGCAGCACCACACTAGCAAGTACAAATCAAGTCAGCTCAACAAAATCAGCACTAATCCCTTTCCATAGTGAACATGTCAGGACCACGGACAGCACCTCAACAATACAGCTTCTGTATGATACAAGTATCAAAACTGACTGACATGGAGCAGGGGGTTTAAATTATCTGGGGGGTTTAAGGAATGACTCCCTATCATGCAACTTGTCATCTGCACACAGTTAACCGGATGAGAGATGTCACCTCACCTAAAGTGGTATACCACCAAGCCCCACCTTGATTCCTGTGGTTTCCTGTGGCCTCTCAAAAGCATCAAGCCTGTTGTATCCAGTTGCTGTTGTGACTATAGGCACTCCCGACCACACACTGATGCTAAAATGTAAAATTTTTACTACCAGGAAAGCAAAATATACAACTCTAAGGCCTGCTGCGGCTACTGGGGTGACAGGAGTGTGTGTGTTACTATGAAGGATAAACAAAGGTTTGTTACAAATACTGCATGTAGATTAGGATAGCAACACCTAACAATATCATACATGGTTTACTCTTTTGCTCGTTAATGTTTTAGGTTTAAACGATGTTGCACTTGTTACAATGAGTGTGTTAAAATGCCAAGAGGCAGCCGGATCTCATCCCAGAAAAAGCAAATAAACTAAAAGCAATACTTGATACAGCGAGCAAATATAAAAATGCATTTAATTCTTGCTTAAAAATGTAGTCCAGTTTTATAGGCTGTTATATCATGTGTATGTGTGTGTTCACAAATGTGTGTGTTTACACTTGGGTGTGATGATCTGTGAAATTATCTATTGCCCTTCAGAGCTGGAGCCTTTGAGGAGCAGCGGCCTTCTGTCCAAACCTGTTATTCTACACAGGCAGCACAAGAAGCACTGAAGAGCAACAGCTCTAAGGCCACCCATGCATAAAACATTGTTACCTCACAAGAACACATACACCATCTCTATAAAAGAGATAGAGATACATGATAAACTCTGCGTATTTACAGCATATTTGACTGAGGAAAATAATGTGACATGATATGCTATTTTTGTTCTACAGCGTCTTTGGGAGGGAGTGTAAATTCTAGCTTGCATTTGACAAGGAGTGAACATCACTGAACATTTTCTTTAAGACAGGAGTATATATAGGAATGTATAAATGACTCACACTTGAGAATACAAGTTCCTTATGGGTTCAAGCTGATAATTAATGACATTATGGCGTTGAATCCATCAAGTTGCATGTCTCTACTCTCGACTACTATGCTCTTCGTAATATAATTTAAAAATCTAATATGGCAATGCTCATGCTTTTCATTTGGAATGTATTGCAGGCTATTGGTATATTTTATTTATATGTGTGATTAACTTCAGGTAATGTTTTACATTCTGTTTGGGTGGTGAAAGCTATGAAGAAGCAGTATAATGACTGCCACATCCTCTAAAATAAATGTTTTGATGACTCTAGTCAAAAGTGGACAAATGAACGATCCTAATAGGACTGAAAATTATTTGTTACCACCCTATAAGCTTAGTCTTGGATACGCCGATACATTGCAAATTTAAATAAATCACACAACATGGTGGAAGCATGGTCTCCACCCTGCGTTTCTAACATGATTATTAACCATTCATTGCACCTCTGGAGTTTAAAAGTATCGAGATTGTTCTTTGTTGTTTTTTTTTTTTCTCTGTCAGATGTTCAAATAGTGGGTAGCTGTGAGGCTGGTGCTCTGAGGCAAGGGCCTAAAAAGGAGTGTCGTGACTCAATGATTCATAAGGCTGAATAATTCAATGGCTGGATGCATGTAGAGCACTCCGCCCCTGCTGAACCCGGTCCTCCACAGACCCAATGCAGACTTACATGTAAACCTCTGCAAGACTGGTTCACATCATGAACTATAAATTTTGCTTAACAAAAAACGCTAATGCTATATTATAGTATGTGTCAAAATGATATTTTGCTGTTGTCATACTACACATTTTTACAATTCCAAAATGAAAAGTATGGTAAGTGAAGATTTCAGTGTCCAGCCATAGGAAATTGGGTCAGAGTCAGTGTAACGGTTGGTGCAAAAACACTACACCAAAACTGACACAAGCTTTAAGGGATAATAGGATAGCATAATGAATGATAATGGTGTGTTTAAGTATGTTATCAAGAAAGGGAGATTCTGTAGTGATGGCTTCAGCTTCTTGAGACCCCTTGAGGTAGACTGGTTGACAGGACAGACACACAGAGAGAGGTATGCAGACTCGCAGCTACAACAACAACCCCAATGCCCCAATGCTGTCTCCCTCTCTGTGTGTCCTTATATCCACTTCACTGTGTGAGCTTCTCTTAAGTAGAGAAACTCTACTGATTTATAGCATTTCACTCCTATAGGGTTGTTGAGGCAATTTGCCAGGTTTTAATAGTAAATAGTAAAATCGATGGAGTTCCCCTTTAAGTTTGTTTCATCTCCCACTTCTTCCCTCTCCCTTACAAATAAATTCTTATTCTTTATGTTAAAACTAAGATATAGCCTCCGTGCCCTCACAGCTGCGGAGGTATTTGTACCTCTCCTAAGTGCTACAATAACAACCACTCTGTCCCACTTCATTTATTTTTCATGATTTTATGATGCATAAAAATCTTTAGATTATCCTATGACATTCTGGCGTCTCGGTGCTTATCATTGTGAAGTAATGGCAGGCGGGTTCTACACACGTATATGCTACCAAACTGACCACTGCCAAGTATTTTTCTGCTTATTTTTAGTTTAATTGCATGATTCAACAGAAGGCATAATGATGCCTCCAGGACAAGCTGACCGATGATAATGCAGTGAATCGGAGAAGCTTTAAATGAGTGCACCAACTGGGAATTAGAATATGAACCCAAACCCATCATGGCTGGATGAATGTAACGCTGGGGGCAGCAACATGGCATCCAACAATGAAATGTGCATCACATCAGTGTGTGTGTGTGTGTGTGTGTGTGTGTGTGTGTGTGTTGCAGGAGGAGGAGGGGGTTGGATTAGGTTTATTGTGGATGCTCACTGACCGAGACCAACAGCCGTCTCACAGAAGGAGCACTAATAGTCCTTGTATATATGCAATGGATGTGTTACATGTATAGGTTCATGCTCACATGTATAGGTTCATGCTCACATGAATCAGAAGCAACATTTGTGTATGTGTGCGTAAGTATGGTGGCTAGACCGAAGTGCAATACACAAAAATACACTCACATAAGAAGTTTTCAGCCTGCTGGAATATGCACAATGCATTTTTAAACATCCAGAATTATTAACCTAGGCATAAGTAGGGTAACACAGCTGGTCCTGCACAAGCGAAATCTTCTTCCTCCATCTGTTTCTCAACCTTCTCCTGGCTCCCTGACAGTTTTTAGATCTTATCTATCTGATACAGAATTTAAACTTCAGTTTTAAGCTTCACAGATTTCCTGCAAGGGTAAAAGAGATGCCTCACTTTCCTTGGATACCGCCACTTCACTAATGTAGGGTTCGCCAGGAAACAAAGCAAAAGCGGGAGCAGTAGAGAGAAGGTGGTAACCTGCCTTTAGTGGTAAATAGGCCAATGTTTTTTTTTCTGGGGGAATCTCTAGTGACGATGAAGTCATCACTTTATCTGCTCTCAGGACTCTCTTTTCTCTCTTATTTTTCATACTTCATTTCTTTTTCAAACCTTAAAATATTCTAAAGCTCTCTCAGCTTTCACTGTGTGGGCTCATAAGGACCAATAAATAAAGAACATTGTATTTTTTGCTGTATTTATTAATTTCATTCTGAATTTATTGGTTTCTATTTTTTTCCCCAATAATTTATGTGCAGATTTATCTTCCTAATAAAAAACAACAACATTTAAATATAAATATTCCCCTATTACCCCCTTTTTCCCCTTTTACCATCATTAGTTTTTGTATTTCTTCCTTGTCTGATTATTTTATGTTATTAATCTGAACAAAATCCACTCGAACATCCCCTGCACCATAAAATGTTTTCCTATAACTGATAAAACTGCAACAAAATGTTAGTGTTTTACATTTACACCCTTGGCAGGGCACAAATGAGAAACATCACTTTCTGTCTGAATGTTTTACTTTAAAAGTTTTCACCAGATGTTGGCAGCTGGAGTGGGCAATGGACCCGAGTATAATCATTAGTGTTCACTGCCCTCCAGTGGTCACGGTGAAGAACTGCAACATCTGCATTCACTCTCTTCTTATTGCCTCTCTTCCCTCTGTGTTCATACTCCAAAGCTATGCTTGCGCATCATTTTGTGTCATACTGTGAACTTGCACATCCCACTGAACAATATTTGCACATTCTTGAAAACTTTACAGCTCTTCATTCATTTATTTAAATAATAGTCATATTTATTTATATTATATATATTTATATTTGTATATATAAAAATATATATATATATTTATATTGTCTCTATTTTATCTGTATTTATATTGTTCTAAGTTTATTGTCATGCACCAATATACCAAGGGAAATTCCTTTTATGTGAAGACCTACTCAGCAATACAACCGATTCTGAAGTTAACAAGAGTATACAAGGGGCTTCATAAAAAAATATTGAAATATATTAATATATAAGATAAAATATAGCCTAAAAGGATAAATCTATAAACTCAATACAAAATACTAAATTTTATTTCAGACAAATTATTATTTATTTTGTATACATTTTAGATATGTTTTTATATATTTCCTACTCAACTTAACATGCACATTACTTCAAACACGTTTTTAAAAAGTGTCAAAAGTTTTAGCTCCTTTACGTAATTGATGCGTCTTACCGCCGGTAAACTACGCCCCCCACAATGCATTGCTCTTCCAACATGGCGTCCCGCGTAGCCGCTTGACTCCTGTCAACAAGAGCAGGGTAAACGGACTGTGTAGCGAGGTTGACAACAGTATTAGAGACAGGAGGATGAAACAGTTGCTGTCGGTATTAAAGCGAGTCCAGAGAGCAGCTGTTAGCAGCAGCCACCGCCGCCGCCTGAGCTCCTGTGCCCGCAGCGGCCTCTCTCCCTGCGGCGATCACGCTCTGATCGTCGGGTCAAGCCGGGAGCTGGTGCAGAGACTGGGCTCACAGGTGGAGGTGAGGACGGGCTTCATCACTGAGGAGGAGGAAGGGGCTCTTCTGAGAGAGCTGGAGCCAGGCCTGAAGAAAAAACGCTACGAATTCGACCACTGGGACGATGTAAGTCCGGTTCATGAGTACATGGTCGATAGTTATTATAACACACACGTTAACGCATGTTAACATATAAAAATGTTGCATTTAAAACATAACATAACAATAAAAACCTGTTTCAGATTTTACGATGAGTTAAGCCCAATCACTAATGGCTAGGATGTTGGAACTTGGACTTGTTAAAAAGCCAATTTTGCGCACTTAATTCTGCGCCATTTCACTCCTGTCAGTACTATTCGTCATACTCTCTGCCCAGATCATGTGATGATGTTTTCCCTGTTTCCCGGTATAGGTTTTGGTTAGTTTTAATGGAAATCTCGTTTCAAGAGTGTCCTGTCCAAGATAGGTAGCAATAACAATTTGTTACAAACAACATATCTTTATTAATTATATATTATATAATAATTAATATTAAGCAACAATGCAACATTGCATGCAATAAATTAACACATTTACATATCTGAAGGTCTCAAGGTGACATAGCTACAGTCCAACCACAGACTGTGGAGCCATTTCTGAACATCATTTCACAAACCCATTTCTGAGCCAATAGTTACATCCAAACAAAGTTGCACATTCTTGACAAACTTAAATCGTCCATGAAGGCAGCTTGTTAAAATGCTGGCCCTTAAATAAATAGTACATTGGAAGTAGAAGTCACTTACAGCGCTGAAGTATTGGAAGTGTTTGGAGCCCCCCCTGAGGTCAGCTGAGAAAAAACAAAACTGTTTACAAATCTGTGCACATGGTTTAGAAACTGTTCTCTCCAATTCATAACCCAACCCACGGATTTGTATACTGCACCCACAGGCACACTGGGCTGGTAGCCAGCAGCAATAGGTCTATATGGCTTTTGGCCAGAAGATATCACTATACAATAAGAAACAAGCTGTAGTCATCTATCGATCATCATTCACTACCCACATACATTTTATATCAGTATTTCCCATCATAACAATTCATTTGAAATAACTTACAATACCACTTCCTCTACATCATGTGTAAATAAAGAATAAGCTTATGAATCTGAGAGCACAGTTAAAAGTTATAAAGTTATAAACCGAGACAACAGATTTACATATGCCTCTTCTTTTCTCAGCTGACCCCAGGGGCCTCTGTAGAGGTCACAGCGATGCCGACGTTATTTGTTCTGTGTTCACTTTCTCCACATGTAGGCTATTCACGGGTACCGAGAGACTGAGCGTGTGACGTGGGGAGTGGCGTGTGAGGAGGTCCTGAGTCGTGTCCGATCTGTAGCGTTTCCTGAGGGTGGTCCACTCCTCGGGCCTGTACACGTTCTAGATCTGGACAAGACTGGCTACATCAAGCCGCACATTGACAGCGTCAAGGTGGGTTCTCAGATAAGAAACAGTCACACAGATGACAATATGCTCGACAAGCGGCGTAAACCTTTGGAAATGCCTTTGTTTTGTGAGCTGTGCTGTTATCCCAGCTGTGCTCTTACTGTCATTCCAGTTCTGTGGTAGCACCATTGCTGGGTTGAACCTTCTGTCAGACAGTATCATGCGCTTGGTGAAGGAGGACGCCGCCAACGAATGGCTGGACCTGCTGCTGCCCCGCCGCTCCCTCTACATACTGAGGTTCAGCATATACTGCAATTAGCTCAAACAAGATATTTGAATATGAAGTATTTGAGTTCTGTATTTACTACACATGGCTGTTTTACCCAGGAAAACTGCAGCTCTACTACAGGATGACTAGCAGTCAAAGGCAAAGACAGACATTTCCTCAAGGGAGTGTGCTGCAGTCTGTGTCATAACTCTGCTGGATACCTAACAACAAAAGGGTGCTGTCACATGTGTCATCCTGTTCTCTTCACACCCCTATAGGGACCAGGCCAGATTCAACTTCACTCACGAGATCCTGAAAGATGAGGAGTCTGTGTTCAACGGACAGAGGGTTCCTCGGTTGCGTCGTATCTCCGTCATCTGTCGGAACCTTCCAGGCTAACAACCACATCAGCTGTTTTTGGTTAATATATTGTTATAATACAAATCCACAGGGTAGCGTCCAGGACATTTATTGTAGTTGAGACACTCAACTATACATATATGTATACTGTGCTATTGATAAATATCGATTGGGTTGTACTTAAATGATCTGTTTGTCTGTGTCCATATTTTCAAGGAACACAATCAACTGAATGAGCCCATTATTATGAGTCTGATTTAAATAAACCTTCCACTGCAACTGCACCGTCTTGGCTGTAATCAGTTACCACTCACTGCTGGAAAGGATGTCCGCTTTAAAGGTTTAAAATACTTGTTTATACATATTTTGGTTCAACATTAAAAGCAGGTGGCAAGGGAAGGGATTCTGAGTCATGTTTACTGTATATGTATTACCAACACTTTTCCTTTATTTACTAATCCACATATATTAATGTTTACTTTTATAAAAATTCAGTTTAAAATACATAATTACCAGTAGATGGTAGCAGCTAATCTTCTCCCTGAATCGAGGGGCAGACACATGTTGTAGGAGGAGTCACAAACTACCTCATGCGCCTAAACTCAAGAGGGAACAAGCCGAAACAATACCAAGTATACAAAAGTACCTGTTTAACCGGACAGCCTACAGGTATGCAAACCCAGATAAGACAAACAAATTTCCTGGTGATGTCCACACTCACTTCAGCCCTCTAAGACACAGGTAAGGAGCATGAAGGCATATGAAAGAGTGTCCTTGTTTATGGCAATATGATAGAGAACATGAATGTAATATACTTATGTTGATTAGATTGATGTTTTTATAGTAATGTAATGAGGAATATATATATTTGAATCCTGAAACCTCTTTGCTGTGTAATGTCCTCTCTGTCACAGAGACAGCCAGCACAAATATAAAAGATGGGGTCAGAGATCAAAGCAGGGGGGCCAATGCGTGTCCTGGTGACTGGTGGGTCTGGGCTGGTGGGCAAAGCCATTGAGCATGTGGTGCAACAGGAAGCCGGGAAACTGGAGGGAGAGGAATGGATCTTCCTCTCTTCTAAGGACGGTGATCTTGTGTAAGTCGCTTCAAGCCTACTCTTCTGCCTTGGCGTGCCTGCAAACAAATTTGTCTATAATTGATGAGTTCCAACACTGACGCACCAGAGTTAGGGATTTGATTTTCAGAAATAATAACAACTATCTATCTGTAGATATATCTATATCTATATAGTTTATGTCTTCCTGGTTTGCTTTATGCCATTAACTTTTAAATCTATTACGGCAAAGTCAAACTAATTGTGTGGCCCCTGTACTCAAGCTAGGCTACTGTATTGTAATGTACACTGAGGAAGTTGTGACTGATTCACGTTTCCTATTTAGTTTTACTTAGCGAGAACAAGAATTCAAACAGTCTCTTTTGTCAACTGTAAACAAATGTGGTGTTAAAACGTGAACAGAGATGTCGGGCAGACCAGGGCTGTGTTCGAGAAGCACCGTCCCACTCACGTCATCCACCTCGCTGCAAAAGTCGGAGGACTCTTTCTGCACATGAAGGAGAACCTGCATTTTTTGGTGAGATAATGCTGCCACACAGTACATTCATGATCGGCCAACAGCTGTTGAACAAACTATTTTAAACCTACTGTAAAAGTGGCGTCTATGGAGGATATCTACTGTGACGACCAGTCAGTGACAGTCTGACACTTTCACAGAGGGACAACATCAAAATCAATGACAATGTGCTACAAACAGCCCACGAGATGGGTGTCACCAAGGTCGTGTCTTGCCTGTCCAGTTGTATCTTCCCTGACAAAACCACATACCCCATCGATGAGACCATGGTAAGCTTTGTTTGTTTGTTTTGAAGCTTAATTTCAATGACAAAGTTATCTGGCATTGAATGGCTCAGATTTTCAAGATGGGCAATCCCTATGATCAATTCTCTCAATTAGACACCAACCCCAGGCACTAATAATTAGGGTACAATGTCGCTACAGAGCCATTAGAGCAGCGCTTTAACTTTACTGTAATTCCCTTACTCCCATAGATACACAACGGACCACCTCATGACTCCAATTTTGGATACTCGCATGCAAAAAGGATGATTGATGTTCAGAACAGGTAAGCAGCTGTGTAGTGCAAACATGGGTGTGTCTGACATGCACCCTCAACAAAGGGCTATGGGGGCAGCACATGGTCAGGTAAGTAGTTCCTTTTCAGCTCTTTGTAGCTTTTATTTAACCTGTGGCTGCGCCTTTATGCCCAAATACAATCCACCGCTCTGGGACTGTGAAAAACATCCATGATTCATTGTCATGCGTTGAGCCAGGTGGACCATTAGTCTCTTTTAGACCAGTTTAATTTCTGAATCGCATAAAGAAAAATGGCCTCCATAAACAAACAAATATGAATATTCATCTGTGTTCCAGTGACTCTTATCGCCTGTGTGTGCAACCTGTGTGTTTGACAGGGCATACTTCCAGCAGTATGGTCATCGCTACACAGCGGTCATCCCGACCAACGTGTTTGGCCCCTACGACAACTTCAACATAGAAAATGGTCACGTGCTGTCAGCACTCATTAACAAGACCTACAAAGCCAAAAGTGATTTAACTCAGACACACTAATCCATCTCGATAACACACGCAGTGAATAACACATACAGCACAGACAATTATCAGGTATTAGAGTCAATGTTCTTGTTTCTCTTTCACAGAGGACGGAACTCCTGTGATTGTATGCGGCTCTGGAGCTCCTAGGAGACAGTTCATCTATTCTTTGGTATGCTATCTGCATGCTGTAACCTGTTGTGTAAATCTATATATTGTACTTGTAGTGGATAGGTATGGGTCACATGTATCTGTGACTGTATTAAATACAGTAAGTATAACAAATTGTACATTACAAAGCCTACATTTACTAACTCTCATTATGTGTTTATTCTCAGGACTTGGGCCGTCTAATCATCTGGGCCCTGAGAGAATATAAGGAAATTGACCCCATTATCCTCTCTGGTGAGTAAAGTGCTGTGTTGACTTCTGGGAATCTTTGTGATTGTGTGATACACTGAAGAAAAAAACTGTATATGTACAGTTCATTCATTGACTGTTGATTTACTTTCAGTGGGTGAAGAGGACGAGGTCTCAATCAAAGAGGCTGTGGAGATGATAGCAAACGCTCTGGACTTCAAAGGCGAAATACATGTATCCTTTCTTTTCCCAATGATCACAACCCCCTGATGTTAACTGAAATTATACTAAGCTGCATGTAGCCTGTTAAGCTCAAAATCATCTCCCCTTGACTCCTAACATCAGTTTGACACCACCCTGTCTGACGGCCAGATGAGGAAGACAGCAAGCAATGCCAAGCTAAGACGCTACCTCCCCAACTTCACCTACACACCCCTTAAAGAAGGTTAGAGTTCACTGTACTCTACAGCTTAATGTCACAAAGCATGTTCTGTTTATGACAATATAAGAACTTCTGTACTGCAAGTGATGGCTTTTTTAAAGTGCGATACAGTAACAAAAAGCCTCTGTGAAAGAAAAGTCTGTGCTCCTCGATATACAAATGAGAACTTTGAATTACATTTTGCATGCAGTCTCAGCTTAGTGCAGGTGATTTGATTTTTTTTTTTCTCCTGTCCTTCTAGCTATAAAGATGACCTGTGACTGGTTTGTGGCCAACTATGACATTGCCCGGACATGAAGCAACCAAACACTGAGCTGATAATGAACAATATTCTGGGGTACTGGTGTCAAGGAGGTTGTTATCACTGTGCAATACTGGTTTATTAAGTACCTCATTAAACTTTACTGTACGTATCCTCTAGTATATTCAAAGCTGTTATTATAGGGGTCATTCTAGCTACACTTTTCTTTAATATCTAATGAAACTGTTGAATGATTTAGAAAGTAAAATAAAGAAGAAAATATTTATTTTCTCCTTCTATTCTCTTTATTAATTTCTTTTTATGTATTAAAAAAAAGCACATTTCCATACGCTAGTGTTGTTATTATTAACAAGAGAACCCCACACAATTAACAAACTGTATATGACAGAGAGAAGAGCCTTACACTGCAGCAGATTTGAAATTTTATTAGAAAAGTGTCTAACTAAGAAAAACATGTTAGACTTTTCCCCCCCCCCAATTTATCAAGTTCTTACACAAGTTTTTCACTCAGCATTAACAAGGTTTCTGTTATGTGAGATTTCAGACTATGAAAAACAAATTCAAGATGCTTAACAAAATACATTTTGATAAATGCCACGCGGGAAAGACAGTTTCAACCTCTCATCCTGTGGCATGTCACAACATAATCCGTTTTGAAACAGACACAAAACCTCTCTTCCAGGGGTCAGGCTTTTTACTGAAAAACCAAAATCCCCAAAATGTTCACCTGACAAGTTTCATTTTGAGCTCCTCCGTCTCATCTCCATCCCTTTGCTTCCTTCTGTTATTCGGTGAGGTAGAAGTGCATTTTGTCGTTCACGTTCTTGCGCTCTGGGTTGAGGCGCTTCAGGATCTGTGCCAGCACGTTGACAGTCTGCTCACTGCTCAAACCTGTGCGCTTCGTCTGGAACTTCTTCAGCAGGTCTTTGGTGGTCATCGGTTTACGTATCAGGTACCGCCGTACAGCTTCCTCTGTTAGCTGCACATCACTGGGTAGGAGATGAATAGAGGAGACAGATTAAATGTTTGTGTTTTGATGTCAACTGTGATATTTTTACAGTTTCACAGTAATCTTGGAATAAATAGAATAAATTTCTTAGTGGCAAAAAGGAAGTCTGGTAAAGTACCTTGAGCTAGGAGTGGATTTGCCTGATGGGGGTTGAGGCGTGCTCTTCCCAGAAGGAGCAGGGCTCTGGCTGTTGGGCTCCATCTTCAGCCTTTTGGCAGCTGGTGAGTCAGTGACAGGGCCCTGAGGCTGCCTCTTTCCTGTGGGAAAAAAGAAAGATTTAGTTGATGCGGAACCAAAAAATAAAAATAAAAAATTGGAGAGACCTCAAGTTTCAGCTGCAGGACACTTAAATTAACAAACGACTCAAAACGTCTGATTTGTTTCATTACAACTTGGCATGGGTGTGTGTATCTGTGGTGGGATGTATGAGCCCCCACCTTGCTCTAGCTTGCTGGCAGCAGCACGGAGTGTATTGGAGGTGGAGGCGGAGTCTATGGATGGCGTCCCCGGGCGACTGCCTGTCCTGGAGCTGCCTGCAGAGCCACGCCCACCTCCGCGTTTAGGAGGCGTACGCTTTTTCTGAGAGATGGACGGAAAGAGACATTTGATGAGAACAGAAAAAAGAAAAAAACGCTTCAAAAATGAAAACACTGAACCATGCACACATTCACATTAAAGCAGCTGCAGTAAGTAACCTATGCCAGTAAACTACAACTACAAGAGAATTTGCTGCACAGTAACTAAAAATAGTTGTGATAGAGCCCCATTATTGACTCTTAATAATAGTATGTGATAACTATTAATCAAGTGGAAAGTTATGACTAAAAAAACAAATGGTAACACTTAAAATCTACATTTATGAGCAAGAATTGGCTAAAAAATCCAAAAATATCCATTTATTCAGACACACACACACACACACACACACTAATCACCATGAACAGAGCAGAGGCCGTCTCTCCATCGATGTCACTGTCATCTGAGCTGTCCGACTCTCCGCTGCTGTCTGTGACACACAAATCAACAAAAAATGAAACAGGACGGCGTATCTTATAACGCTGCTTGTGTTTGGGTATGCATTTTGTTCAAAATCGGCTTTTGTCTCCACAACGTATGCACCTTTTTTCTTCTTCTTTTCCACTTGGACTGGGGTTTTCTTTCCTTCCTCTTCTTCCTCCTCCTCTTTTGTTTCCTCCTCATTTTGCTTCTCCTCCTCGCTCTCTTCCTCACTCTCAGATGCCTCGTCAATCCCTATAAAAAGGACGGATAGGAGGGAAAACCAACACCAAGAAATACAGATCATTCATTCAATAAAGCCAATAAATCAAAAACAATGAAATAAATGTCTGCTGACTCAAAAAATGACTTACATTCAACACGCCAGTCAAATTATTACTAGCCTGGTGGTCACGCTCTACCTTTTATGACATGCATTATATATGCATAAAATCAGCAGTGTCTGGTCTTTTCTATATTTAGTAATTCATGGATGCAGTAATGCAACTGCAGATGGTCTGACCTTTAGGGTGGTCCTCGCCTTTGCTGAGTTTTCCCTTCCCTTCTGGCTCTTCGTCTGAGCTGTTTTTGGAAAAAAAATTACATAGCAATAAAAAGAAGACACAACCAACAAAACAAAACATACACGATAGTGTCCATAAAGAGTCTGTGTGTGCAACAATACAATGGATCTGACCTGCTATCATCTGACATGTAATCCACCTCTAGACCCTCGTAGTCGCCGTCATCGCTGTCCTCCAAGGCCTCTTCGTTGCTCTTTCTCTTCTTCTTCTTCTTTCCTTTTCCCTTCCCTGTGTCTTTCTTTGCCTTTGTCTTGCTCTCTCCATCTGTCCAATAAAGAGGTTGCATGGTGACATGATGTGGCCGTGAGGTTTATGTCATAATAACAAGGTTTCTGCAGGTATCAAGAGGTTACATTTAAGACTTCTTTAGACCTTTATAAGACTGCAATGGAGACCTATTCTACAGCCATATTGGTATGCAAGACATTTTTTTTTGTTCACAGCATGATCAATACAAGTGTTTCCCAAAAATAGATTTAAAATTTGAGACGTTTTGATTTTGAATTTATTAGGACCCTGCGGACACCCCTGTGCTCTTCAGTCTCATCCTGCATCTCTGTCCTTACCATCCCCCATACTGCTGTCACTGTCATCGCTGCTCATCTCCAGATCATCTTCCAGGTCGTGAATGCGCAGGTCGCCCCCTCTGCCACCACCCTTCTTTTTCTTCTTCCCTGACTTCTCGCCCTCGTCATCGTCGTCCTCACCACGTTCCTGCTCCCGGAAGCGTCTCTGAAGCATGATGCTGAAGTGATTCACCACCTTGTTTCTCCTGTGAAAGCAGGGGAACATCTGGTATATTAAGTGTTCGACACACCTGCACCACCAACAACCATCCCTCCTCGTTCTTCTTATCTCTCACCTGCCCCATTCCTCCTCAGCCTCCTCGGCGGTCAGAGTTCGGTGCTTGGCCAGCGGGGTGAAGTTGTACCAGCCGTGGACAGGGAAGGCCTCAAAAGCTCCATCGGGACACTGTGTGAAGATGTAGTAGGATGCATTTTCTGTAACACCGCCCTTCTTTTGACCTTTGAACCTGGAACAAACATGTACACAGACAGAGATTGGAAACAGAAGGTATCAGGTCAAAATAAAATACACTTTTTATCTTTCTTGCTTAAAATTCTCTACAGTAACTCACTGAGAGATTTGTGTAAATAACGACTTGTATACAAAAACATGTCAGTCTCAGTTACACCATAACAATGTTTGCGTTCCCTCCACGCACAAACAGGTTCAAAAAGAGATTGAGTGTTTGTGAAAATGAGAGTGAATCAGAGCATAAAGAAGTCTCGCCTTCCCCACCTCTTGCCGGCCTTGCCGTTGACCTTGAGGATCCAGGGCTGGTCCTCCACTTTGAACTCACGTGTCACAATACCAAACTTCTTCCGCCGCGCTTCCTCACGCTGTTTTTTGCCAAACTCACTGCCAGCTGCGCCTTCCTGCATCTCCTCCTCGCCATATATGCGCCGAGCACTCATATCTCTTTCCATACGAGCCTGGGGAGATGTTAAAAAATTTAAAACTGAGTAATGGTTGTAATGAAGGCTAACTATATTCTATATTCTCTGATTTATCTCCGTGTTCTTCTTAGGGTAATCGCACTGCTTGTTATTGCTCTCTCAGTACTGACTGTGTGCCCTACCAAGCGGCAGCTGTCATGTGAAGACAAACTGACATGAAGCCCACCTGTGTCCAGGTTGAACAGTTGACTCTGTCTCCTGAATTGAAAGCCATAATGTTGTACTTTTTGCTGGTATTTCTATGGGACAGAGAAACAGAAAGGGTCATGGGAATAGTTACCGGATCATAACTAACTTACTGCAGAAAAACAACTTCATTAACATTAACACTGTAAGTATAAACAGTACAAACAATTCATCACGTAGTCCAAGAAATCTATTAATATTTGCAAAGGGAGATTTAACCAACAGCACCAGGATACAACAAAGGCTGGTACGTATACACAGAATCAAAACCTGTCCTACAATGAAATCCTACAATGATCACTTCCTTTAACAAAGCCTTGTAAACACAGAAATACACAACATCCCTGCACAGAAACAACCATACATGGAATCCGTCTAGTTTTTCTATTTCTATTACACCACAAAGTGGGGACAAGGCTTGCCCAGACACTTTAGTGTGGAGATTTTATTATGGTGGGTATATTTATTTCCAGTCCATGTTACTTACTTGGGGACTCGCACGGTGTATTCTGTGGCTGAGGAACTGCTGCTCCCCTGTGACACAAACACATTGATACAGTTTCTTTTAGAGGGCTTTGTCTCAGCACTTTTCCCAGGTCACTTGAAAGACATGCAGCAGCAAACAGCCCCCGGCCTCTTTTAAACCCCATCACAGTACCGTATAGTGTGATGGGCTGATGTCAGTAATACAATAATGCCATCTACATGACATGTGAAGGTTAGCTTATCATAAGTTTACAATAGTGCAAAAGCACAAGACTTGACTTCATTCACAGGGATACTAACTTAGATTTTGTATTTCTGTGGAGTGAAAACTTACCAGTGAAGTCATGGTTGGTCGTCTCTCCGGATTTACTCACCACATCAACAGGTTCAAGCTAGTTGCGTAGACTATTAAAAAAGAAGACGTGCGTTAACAATAAGCTTTTATAAACCAGGATGAATGTGAATCAACGGCAAAGTGGACCGGAGTGTTGATGTAACGTTAGCTAAACAGAAATCCCATTAAATTAGCTTGTGTTGACAGATAACACTGATTTCCTGTGACCATACGGGCTAACTAGCGTTAAAGTAATAATAAAATAGTGTGGAAACCCAATATAAAAACTGATAATGTCTTCCACAGAGTGGTACTTTGTCCAAAGATGTTTGCACCGTTAATGTTAGCACCTCATGCTAATATAGACAGCAGCAAGCCGTCGCCGTTGGTAACGGTTACTAGGACAATGCAGCTCCGCACTCAAAGGTACAATACAAGATGTGCACACATACAGAAATGTATTGCAATAAGACATTTAACAGAAACATTTTGTATTTGTAACACATCCTCACGTATTTACCGGTGCGCGTACTCCCACCGGTTTGTTCCGTTAATTTATTCAGCCGACAGGAACCTTAGACTAGAGGATATTGGTTCCCAGCAGCTCGGTCCGTCCCCCTCTCTTTGTTGAACTCGTGGTTGGCTCGGGTTGGTCCTGTTTTCGAGCCAGCTTCGCAGTGCCCACGGCAACATAGCATAGGTAATTGTGACCACTAGAGCAAGGAACATGCCCATTTCATAATTTGTCTTATTTCGTCAATGTTTGCTTCAGTCTGGTGACTGTAATTTGAAAGTATTCACCGGAAGTGTTCACCACCAGTTTACGTGTTGATGATTGCAACGATGCCATCCGGTGGTCAAAATGCGTAACTACATCTATGTTATGTTTAAAAAATCCAAATGAAAGTTATAACTTAAGTATTAATGTGTAAATGTTTCGAGCTTGATGCAAGTGGCGTAAAGTTGTAGTTTCTTAATATGACCACTAGAGGACAGTGTACTCTACTGTGATTATAATTATATCACCAAATCAAGTTTATTTTCACTGAAAACCACTTTTCGGTTTTGCATGCCCTTTGAATTAAAGTAATTCAATTAATTGCCAGAATAATCACAATAATTGTAAAATGATGTCCACCGCTATGACATGCAAGGAGAGGGTCGCGTAACCAACAGGGGTAGTCAACCTTCTCCGGTAGGCTACAGTAAGCATATGGTCTTCTTACTGTTGCCAGCTGCCTCCATCTGTCACATCAGAATCAGAAATACTTTAATAATCCCCGGGGGGAAATTACTTTGAGGCCTTGTAGTGGTCCCGCGATAGGTGGAGATGACGAACGCTAATACGAATTGAACACGGTTGCAGGTCCACTCTGTGACCACTGGAGGGCATTACAGCTTATGATTCAACTGCCACCTCCAATGGTTGGGTTTTACCATCCCCCAGTGGCCACCATGTGATTGAACACATTACATCTGTCAAAATAACATTACTACAAATGAAAGCATACTATCTTTCCACTTTCTAGTACTTACGTTACTTTCTAGTTTTACTACTTTCAAGGACAGTTGGGTTTTCGTACTTATCGACTGACTATATCTTACAGTATGAATTGATGTTAACCTACAGTCTCAATCACTTTGCGTGTTGTAGTAGTCCAACTCTCTGCTCCAATGTGGCGCTAGGAGAGCAATCAGTACCAGTGGGGCACCTAAGGTGGCACTTCTACAGTAGAATGAAGATACTGGTATCATATGAAACTAGATGACCTAATGCAATCATTGTTACCATGTTGTGCTAGCATTTTTGGAAGGGGGCTAAATTAATTAAAATCTCTTATCTCAAATTTATAAATACAATTATTACAAAATACTGATGTTTTCTGTTGATGTGATAATCACCACACTAATAATAATGTATAATATGTAACTATTTATGTGCTATGTTTTAGCAGTCCAAAGGAGAGTTTTAGTTCCTGACTTTGACCACTAGGGGTTGACGATCACTAATGAATCAAAATTCTCAGGTCAACAATCTATACCACAGTGTCAGGGCCGAAGGTGGAGAAAGTTTCACAAAAGTTGTTTTTGACTGCATTACATAATGTGGGTGTTTATATGTACTGCTATACTAAATTTATTCTTTACCCTTGATATCTAAAAAAAACCTGAAAAAAAGAAAACAACAACACAAAAAACCCAAACAAATCTGTAACATTATCTTAATTATTATTTTCTTGCAAGGTAAACTGGCTACTGGCTCCAGGCCACACGTTGTCATTAAAACAACTCCTTATTATAAGGAAAATTATATAACAGTTATTAACAATACTTATGTTACTGTGTTGCTCCTAATAATAAAACTAATACTGAGTTGTATGTATTTAAATCAATAATCGCTTGTAAGGAAATCTTCCCTATGAGATTCATCTGCATTACTCTGTTATGTAAAGTAATTTAGCCTTATTAATCATTTTTACTGTATATATTTTTTGTAGATATATTCACATAATGGGGACTACAAACCTGGATTTATTGATACATCTATGTGTTGTACAATTACTATCAAATTACAGTATATCCTTGTATTAACACTTGCCATTGTTTTAATTGTTGTTTTGTAGTTCCACACTGTGGCCACTAGAGGGAAAGGAACACTCATGATTCGAAATACACAATCTCTGTGAATGTGAAAAATGTTATGTATTGTACTCTACTGTATGTATTGTATTTATTGCAGGGCTGATTATTATTGGAAAGCATTACATGCCATAGAGGCAAAGTAGGTTTTTCAAAATATACATCTGTTTTCAAATGTTAGCCATTTTAATCTATTTCTAGAGAAACTATCAGTAACTGATCAGTTTTAGAGTACATTTCCCCATGTTAAGCTTTTAACAAGTTTTAAGATTCTGTAATATCCTGTAGCATGTAATACAATTGTCTGCTTATTTAATTATTAAGTCCTAACTCTGATTATAAATTACACAATTACTTGATAGGTACCATTGATATTCTCTAAATAATATGTTTTCAAGAAATTATCTCTTTAATCTCATTCCTTCTTTGTCTTAACCAGTATACACACTGTATTTGTATTAATAAATATCATGGTTCTTCCTCGAAAACACCTGTCTTTTTTCTCCCTTTGTATTTGTAAATGATTTACATACTGTCTTAGATGTATTACCATTTTATTTTACAAGACAAATTGTTCTGACAGCTGAAGCGGGAACTCCCTCCTGTCACAATGAAACATCTCATTGTGACGTTGATAGCAAAGGAGCAGTAAAAAAAAACAACAACACAATTTTATGCCTTAAATCAAATAATCCAAGCCATAATCATTTGGTCTGAAGCATGTGTACTTTACCCAAAAAGTCAAGTCAAGTTATTGTTATTTATTTAGCCCAATATCACAAATCATAGTTGGCCTCTATCTGTGGCAGCATATGGAGAGACATGCAATAGATGTTGGGCATTTATATATAAATATTAATGGCATGCCCTTTAGGAAATTATTGAATGAATAAATGGAATGAAAGTTTGAATGTACAGAATGAAATCTGACATCATCAAGGCACTGTTGTTATGTTGTAGATGTATAATATTGTTCTGTTGTTGCTTCAAGACAGTCGAGTCGTGCCCATTCAAGCTAAAAGAGCATGTGCCCCACCAGATTTTTGCTATCTAGATTTTTTACATTTTCTTAATTTTTTCATTGCTATTATTTTTTTTTAATACTATGTAACAATAGTCATTTTATTTTCAGGCCCGGTTCTACGAGGGTGCAGAAACATGCATTGCACCCCGAGTTTAATAATCTGCACCCTTAATGCCAAGCGCAAGGTGGTCTTAAAGGCGCACAGACTGTATGGTTCAGTAGTGGTATGTTCAGCAGCGCAACCTGCAAAAGGGCTGGGTGAAGGTGGCGATTATTAAATACTGTATCAAAATAAAGACATTGATTTGGTGAAATCTGAATCTGACTGGTGCTCTTTTAGTAATAATTATCATGTATCTCACCTCATACATGGTCATGTGGTTCAGTAATTAATGTTACACAGCAGCGTTGGCACTGCAATGTGTTTCATGGGTAAAAAAGTTGGATGAGGCTTTGATTAGCCCTGGTAACTGGACATCTCCTTCATAAAAAAGAAAAAATTATGTATATAGAGCTCTGTATGGTTATATTGAAGCAGCCTACTGTCGTTGTCAGGCGATTTAATGAAGGTAAACTCAGCAAACTGTAAAGACACTGCGCTCTGGCGCGGCACTTAAAACAACTTAACATATCCGTCCATGCCTTCAGATGCTGCAGGGACTTCATAAACTGAAGAAATATAAAGCAGTTGTGGACAGCAGATACTATAAGAATCACCCACATTCATTCATAGATCAGTGAATGATTTACTGACTTTCCTGCTTTAACCACATTCAACCTTTTGCTGCTTCCTATGGATTGTGTTTGAACATACAGCTACAGTACAGTAACATAACACTAACATATATATATATATATATATATATATATGAGAGAGAGAGAGAGAGAGAGAGAGAGGTCCCAGGACGGCTGATGGTCCAGCAGAGAGAAGCCTGAGTGAAAAGAGAGGAGGAACAAACTAAATTGGTGTAATATGGTAAAATTTTCTAGTTTTAGTCTAGCTGCTACATTCTGAACCATTTGAAGACTTTTCGTAGTAGCATGTGGCAGACCAGACAGCAAAACATTACAGTAATCTTTGCCAAATGCAGCAACATCAACAAGAATTTTCCTAACCAAATGGTTTGACTAAAATCTATTTAAGCAAAAAAATTAAACTTTCACCTTCATCCTGTCTGTGGGGAATTAATTGATACAATAAAAACCTCTTCATAATGAAGTTAAAGCAGCTTTATCATGGTTATACAGGAAATCCGATGTCTTAAAAGAATAGTTAAAATGCATATTCTGGACTATAGCCTGAAAGGTAGTATTAGATATACACTTGTTTTCTTTATATCTCTGTAAATAACATGTTCTTCACTTTGTAAAGCTCAGTGACTCTTTGGTGGTAGTAACACATGGTAAATGTGTATGGTTATGTAAATGTGTTGCAGGATTCCATTCAGAGCTGTTCCCTCTGTAAACTGTAAACTACGTATCACATGTAAGTCAATTTGCATTCGTTTTTGCATTGCTTTCAAACCTTGTAAAAACTGTTTTGGGTTATGTGCAAATTTCCCAAATACAACCTATGTATAGCTTGAACAGTGACAAGTTGTGTTTTATGGACTGGGACCCATCATGAAGAACTGCTGGGTCTTTTCACTTCTCCTGGGTGAGTTAATTCATGTTTCCTACAGTTGATAATGTGTGAAAATTAAGTATCACATTAAAATAAACTAGAGAACAGTGTATACTTTTACTTAATATAACCCCACTAAGGCAGCATTATTATTCTGTTATCTGTAATCTATCTGTTTAAATGCCTTTATACAAATACATATGTCTATTTCTCATCAATACCATCAGCACCAGTTCAGCAAAGCTAATTTCTATTATAGTCTTGAATATATTTAGCTGACATTTGCCTGTAATATTTTTTTCAGAATATGTGAAGATTAAATAAATCATAAAAAATGGGTTGCTATGCAAATTAAATGTATGCATCATCTCAAGCAGTATGTTTAACAACTGACACAAGTCCTTAGAAACAATAACGTCTTTGTCTTTGTGCTTCGTAGGTTCACTCTTCATTCTTGGTCATTGTGTTTTTCCTCCTGGTATGGCTGATGTTTACTTGTAAACATACAGATTCTGGTTATAGGTATAGCCGTACTTTTTTATCCATTATTATTGACATATGTCATGTCTTTCTGGTCCATACAGGTTCTTGTGATGGATACACAAACATAACTGAACCATGGCGTAACCATTTATTTAAATCATCTTCATTTGTTGGCTACCCAAAGAATGATGCACATCTTGTTAATAAGTGGTGGCGCTTCACAGGGATTGGTGGAGACAGAGTCATTACAAGTTGCAAAGGAGGCCCTATTGGTGGTACCCAATACGCCATCCGTGTTCCATTTTCATATCCAACAACTGAATCTGAAACTCCAACAACAGGAACTGCATATGGAGATGTTGGATCTTGTGCTGTGTATGGCATTACAATGACAGTGTCGCTGTGTCCTGGAGGATTCTACATATACAAACCATCAAGTCACCCACGTAGCAGTATGGGTTATGTAACATGTAAGGAAAGATTGCTCATTGTCGTCCTTTCCTTTATACTTTAGTGTGGTCATGTCCCATTCAATACTGTACTGATGTACTGATGTACTTTCTGTGTATGTTATCTCTGTTTAGATCATTATGAGTGTAACCTTGACTCCTGTGGACCACTTGCTGAGTGTTCAACTGAAGGAGGCTGTATTTGCGTTACTGGGTATGAACTCCCCCCAGAACACCTGCCCACTCCAGATTCATATGGCTGTGTCGGTAAGTACAGTTATTTAATCTGAAAAGTGGGAAATTACATTCTAATTTCCCCTTTTATTAAGATGTTAAGATGCTTCTGCACATGTCATTTTGTGACCAAGTACCATATTTCTCACCTTAAACTCCTGTTTGTAAAAGACATTGATGAGTGCCAGAGGACCTCAGGGATTTGTGGTTCTTACTCCACTTGTAATAACACCATTGGAGCATACTACTGTACCTGTCTGGATGGATTCAGTGCAACAGATCCAACATTACCACCTGGAAAGTCCAACCCATGCAAAGGTACCCAAAACAAATCTATCTCTGTCTCACTTTGATGCAATTATGTTACGTTTATATATATACGTTTTTGTCATTTGCTCTCTATAGATATTGATGAATGTCTTGACAATATCTGTGGTGATCATGGGACCTGTCTCAACAACCCAGGAAGTTATGCATGTGAATGCCATACAGGCTACCAGGTTGTACCCGACGCAACACCTGTTTGCCAAGGTCTGTTTACAGTAAAGTTACACATCACAGGATCAGCTTTTTTTCATGTTCTCTAAGCTATTACCAAATGCAGTTATAATGTAACAGTTGGAATTCTTACCCAGAAATTTTGTCTCATTAATATCATCATCAAAACTTGCCAGTTAAATTTTTTATGGAAGAAAATATAAACTGTGAAGGTGTTTCAACCAGTTGTTACTGCTATGCACAAAAACTACCTTAACTGGAATGCCAATATATCCTTTAGATTTTCCAAAGGTGATGACAATTTGGCCTTTTCAACTTGATAGGGGCAACTGTCAAACTCAGTTACTATAAAAGGATTGATGACTGATTCAATGTTGTCTTCACCACACCCTTCAATGAGTTACTCCCACTCAGGAACAAGATAATTATAATCACACACCTGATTTCATCCACACACGTCAGTTAACCATCTCTCACCATCACCAGATTGGCCACCTTATTCTGGAAGAGAAACGTTGTTCAAACTGATCAGTAGATTTCCGTTCAAGTCATGTGTCAATGCTTTTATTTTGGAGTAAAATGACCACTTCCTTTTACTTTTATATCTTCAAAATTTCATGCCAATTGTGTTAACTGTTCCTCAGATATCGATGAGTGTTTCAACTCCACCGTCTGTGGCCCTGACTCTGTTTGCACCAATACACCTGGAGCTCATACCTGTGAATGTGAACTTGGTTACACACCAACTCAACAAGCTGAAGAGCCCAGCGAGACCAACATCTGTATTGGTATTTTAATTGGTGTTTTTCAGACCCAAGATGTTTATTAGCATCTAGGAGCAGATGGAAAACTGCAAGCTCAATTGCAAGACTCATATTCAGAGCTGTCTGGTTTCTTGTTTCTTTTGTGTATCATTTTTATCATATTTGGCAGATGTTGATGAGTGTGACAAAGATGCTACTGTCTGTGGTCCTAATGCCAACTGCACAAATTCAATTGGATCTTACATTTGCACCTGCTTTCCTGGTTTTCGGCTGAACAACCCAGGCGTGATAGCCAGCGTTTCTAACCCATGCACAGGTAGGTGTACGTGTTCACTACTAGTGTGACTGTTGCTTTTACTATATTTTACTACAATGTGTGTGTTTTCTCTGTCTACAGATATAGATGAGTGCAGTGAGACACCTGGTATATGTGGTAGACAAACTGTTTGTACTAATGTACCTGGGACCTTCTATTGTTCTTGTCCTGATGGATTCTACCCTTCAACTGGAATTGTGTGGACGTTAGGGGTCTCATTTTGTAAAAGTGAGCTCATGATGCAATTGATCAAAGTATGTAAGTAATGTCCTGATGTGCTCAATGACTCATACATGGCTATCTTGTAATTTCCTTCTACTCAACAGGTCTTCAGGAGATTTTAGATGAGATAAAACCACCAGAGGTAAATATTGCCAGCAAAGTGGCACTGTAAAGGAAAGAACGATTTTATAAACCAATGCAACAGTGATATTAGACAGGAAAACAAAACACAGAAATTCACTAAATCACTACACTTATAATATGGGTAGGCAGAGGAGAAAATGTTATGGTGATATGATTTGCCAAAAAATGTCAAAGTTTGAATATGATAGACTCCAGACTGCACTGACATTTGTGTATTTGCTGCAGGGACAGACAAAAGAGAGAGCTTTTCTTGGCAATATGAACCAACAACTGAAAGACAATACAGGCATCATCTTACCAGAACCAGTGAGTAGAAAACAGAGAGGGGTGGTCCTCTTCAAGAAACCTTTAAAAATACAAAATGTATTTATTCCCATGATTGATTATTGCTGAAATAATGTTCTATACAGAGGGTTATGTTATCAGTATTGGACTGGGTAGAATGAGACTGTCACGGCTTTCATGAAGATGAGGAGTTCTGTTCTCGAACACTTAGTTACAGTCATTTGTGTGCAGATCTAGTTTTACATGATCTGGAAATTAATTCAACTTCAGTCTAAGTTTAAGTCATAGTATGTGTGGATGACACTGCAACTGCACTTACACAATTGTTCCCTGCTCTCTCTCTTTCTTGTGCTTTTTCTACAGACTGTGGCAAACAGCTTCTCAGCATCTATGGTATTTGTTTTATAAATAACCTGTGTCACTGTAACTGTGCAGTCCTTTGAGGATGCTTTAATCCAACTTCGTGTTTGCAGCATCAGGCAGGTCAGTTATTCACATATCTCTTCTTGCAGGAAGTGTCAGGTGTTGGACCACGCGCCAGGTCAATCAGGGTGAGTAGTGAAGGAGATGGGGAGACTGGCAGTGTGATCCTGGGCATCTCAGACCGTTTAGTGTCTGCAATGGTGCAGCCAGGTCAGAACCAAACCAAGAGGACTGTGAAGAGTCCAACAGTGGGTGAGTGATGTTCATCTTAGTTGGTTGTAGAAATATACTGTATTTCAGCTGCGTGGATATCAAATCTAAGTTTAATCTGTGTGTTAGATTTAAGTCTCGAAACTATTGGTCCTGGGAGCAACAATGCAGAGAGCTCTTCTCTCTCAGCCAAAGGAAACATCATGGAGATCAACCTGGAAAGTCTGGCCAAAAATAACAATGGTGAGTAAAAGCCCAGGATGACAAAGATCATGGCAATTATCAAGGTACATATTTATTTTTTGCATTGCAACTGGTTTCATTAATTTGACTATAAATCACCCTGCACAGTCTTCAAATGTCTGTTATCACTGTGTGTTTATAGGGCAGGTTAATTTGAAAGTTGACTTTCACACAGTAACGGGAGAAAATAAATATCTGTGTGCACAGTACGAAATATACATTCACTTATGGAAAACAGTGTTTTTGATCTCCTCCACTGTGTGGACATTTCCAGGCTCTGCAGCAGCTGCCTTCATGACACTAAATGGGATGGAGAGTCTTCTCAGTCATCAATATTTTGAAACAGAAAACAGGACAGAGATGTACTCTGATGTCATCACTGCAGTCTTACCCTCAATGAACAATACCAACCTCACCGAGCCCGTCAACTTTACCATCCATCACAAGAAGGTTTTGCCTAATTTATCTATCAATCAAGATAAATACTTTTAAAGACAATATACAGTTATCTACCTTTCAAAATATCTACAAATCTTTGTTTTCATGGTTTCATCAGACATTAACAGAATCTGGTTTGGTGACCTGTGTGTACTGGGAGGACAAAACAGAAGAGACAGGAATGGGAGACGGAAGTGAAAAGGGAGGAGAAAAGACCAAGACCATGCGTTGGTCAGTAGAGGGATGTTGGGTTGCATTCACCAATGAAAACTACACAGTGTGCAGCTGCTCTCATCTCTCCACATTTGCCCTCATCATGCAGATAGGGGAGGTATTATAGATTTGTTTGTCAATGTGCATTCACTAATACAGGTTCCCACATCCAAGGTCAGCTAGATCACAGTTTGAGTTTGCTTCTGTGTTATGTCTTCTCAGCCTCCACCAGAGGATCCATTTCTAGAGTGGCTAAACCGAATATGTGTGATAGTCGGACTATTCTTCTTTGGTTTGGCCATCCTCACCTTCCTCCTGTGTAGCTGGAACCCCAAGATCAACAACACAGCCCGTCTTCACCTGTGCCTCAGCCTCTCCTTATCTCATCTACTGCTACTGTGGAATGACAAATATGTTGAAGAAGAGGTACAGTAAGACTACAGTGTAGATTTTAGTTTTGCTTTCAAAAATACTTGTTAGGAGTTCTCACACATACATTAAATGTATGCCAGCTGAAGATTCTTTGCTGAGGGTGTTTCCAGAAGCATTTTATTGCTGTCAAAACACTTCTTATGTGTCTCCACAGCTGGCCTGCACTGTCATGGCGGGTCTTCTCCACTTCTTAGTTGTTGCAAGTTTTGTGTGGATGCTGCTGGAGGCACTACAGCTCTACCTGTTGGTCCGAAGGCTCTCCAAAGTGCAGGTCATCCAGAGAGATGGCCTCCCCAGGCCACTTCTCTACCTGATTGGCTACGGCGTTCCATTTGTGATTGTGGGTACTTCTGCTTTGGTTTATTCTGATGGATATGGTGCTACCGAGGCAGATGTGTGAGTAAGACAAACAGTAATACGTGCACTCATTCATTTTCTACTGTATGTTTGATTTGCATCTAGGTTAAAAAGAATTGCTTGTTTGTTTGTTTGTTTGTTTGTTTGTTTGTTTGATTTTGTCTGTTGCAGGTGCTGGCTCTCTAGACAGCGCAATTTTAACTGGGCTTTAACAGGCCCTGTGATTGCTGTCCTTGGAGTGAGTATATTGGATATTAGCAATTGCATCCCATGTATTCTGATGAAAATACAATCAGCTCAGCTTGGTGTATTGTCTAAGTTATACTTGGATCAATTTCTAGTTAACCAAAGAACAAGCCAACACGCACTTTAAGACTAAGTTTTGACAAAGTATTTTCCTCGGCATAATAAAGATGCCCTGCTGGTGAAATCTGCTGAATGTGGTGCAATCCAAAGAGAAATATTCATTATTAACCTGACACATGGAAAAAAGAGGAGGGGTTCACACTATGTGTACTATACTCACACTATGTCTTACATCAATTACCTCCATCTACTTGCACAAAGTGAACAGGACTAGGCTCTCAGGCCTCAGTTTATTCATTCTTCACAAACAAATATTTGCACATATATTTTTGGCAATATGCTGTTCTATCATAGCTCAATCTCTGTGTGTTTTTTTCTTTAAGCTTAACTGGATATTGTTCTGTGCAACTCTATGGAGTCTGAGACCCACCTTGGCCAACATGAAAAGTGATGTTTCTCAATCCAAAGACACCAGGTATGAACCAGTACTGTTCAAAATTGTCTTTGTGTGGACATGAAATGTTTAGCCTCATGCAAATACACAATTTGACATGCTAATTTAAATAAGTTTTTTTATACGCAGTTTGTCAACTCAAGAGGAAGTGTCAACACAACACACAACACACAACGCAGTCAAAATACTGTACACAGTAGCCAATTATTTTTAAATAGTAAGATATCTTGAAATAAAAACAAAATAACTTTTTTTTGCAGGTTGATTGTGTTCAAGATCGTGGCCCAGTTTGTCATACTGGGCTGTACCTGGATTCTGGGACTGTACCAGACGAATCTGTTCTTTCAGGTCCTGTTTATAATTCTGAACTCCCAGCAGGGCACCTTCCTCTTCATCGTCCACTGTGTGCTCAATAAGGAGGTAAACTCTTTGTGCAGATGACTGATCTCTTGTTAATCTGCCCTCCGATATGTTTTTAAGTTACAGAGCACTACTACAAACAATGACAGCAATAAGAACAGTAGTCTTTTTTTTTTGGCAGCATAAACATGTAACTGTTAACAAGTTGTTATTCATTGTATCTTGAAGGTACGAGAGGAATACGTGAAATGGCTGACCTGTTCTTTCAATAAGCACAGAGAAGGAGGATCTGTGGTGAGTTTTTATATCAATAAACACAACAATAAGAGATACCAGGAACCACTTCCATATTCGTGAAATTGTCAGATAATAAATTTTCAGACCAGGGCCAGAAAAAGGTCTGGAAATCTAGGAGACAGTCGCTAAAAAAACATTCATTAAAAGCACTTATTGGAGTCATAAAAATACTTGCTCTGGATCCTGCAGAATCTGATGAATAAGAGTTTTATTGGAGTCAACACACCAACAAAACAGTGAGTGTGGTACCAGGAGCAGAATAACTTTTCTGCATACAAACACCCTATTATATATTGTATAGGAACTCAATCAACAAATCACCACCCTCTGTTCTATTAACATTGACAGATTTGATGAATCAGAACCAATATTCAAATTTTTGACAAGTGATGATGTTTGTATATGCCCAAATTTAGAACCAGACAAACTGGTTTTTCTGGCTGAACTCTTAGTCAACTTCATCCTGACCTTGTTGTTGCGTGCTAGTTGCACCCCTCCACCAACTACTTCAGACTCTCATAGACACACATCTGCACACATCAATTTTAAAAGAAAGCAAACATGATATATAATAAAATATAGATTATTTTACTTATTTTTCAACTTATATATCTATATATATATCTATATATATATATATAATTTTCTTACCAGCACAAAATGTTTTCAGTTAAGACACGAAATGGTATGCTGAACAGACAAAACAACCCTCCACACGTCCTGGATGATCCTAGGTGTGCCTGTATATGTGAATCTATGTTGTATATATACAAGGCACTGCTCAAAAAGTATTTTCTGTCACTGATCTGTAGAAAGGTTCCTTTCAAATGTCTTGCTGGAATCATGATTTTTGTAACGTTGCATATTTTAATAGAAATGTATTTCAACAGAAAGATGCGCCGTCAGTCTCCGAGGACATGGACAAGGCTGAAGAACGGACAGGCTAATGCTGATGAAATGAGTATAACAAAAGAGAAGAGAAATATAAGCCTTATTTAATTTTTGTCATTACGTCATACTTACGTCACAATTTATTGTTGTCATTGTTGTTGTGGTTGGGGATGGTAGGTAATCAAATGTGTAGCCTATGTGTATGTGTGTTTCAGCTTCTGCTGTACGGGTGACATTCACTTTGAGACAACACAAAACAATACCTGCCGTAAACATAAAGTTGTCATTATTGCTTTATTATTGCAGTTATTTTCCTTAGTCAATTCAGTTTTTTCTATTTCTTTATGTAGACTCTGGTTCATGATCCAGACACCTGAACTAATATGCATGAAAGTTCATAGCTTTTGGGACTATATACAACAGCATGTAAAATGTCATGTCAACCACTAACCTCTACAGTGCACAGATGCATATTTGTGACAGGGCTAATAGCTACTTTTGGTTGGTGTTGAGGTTTTTTTTTTTAACTCTTCCTAGAACAAGTGGTAACTAAGGAACTATACTTAACTGTGTAATCTCTGGGTCCGTCGTATGAACACTTCACACACAGTATTTTTGTGAACTCATTAGTATATTTTGTGTGCTTTGTCTGTTGTGGTTTGTATTGCTTTGAGGCCATAATAAACTTCGGTTGTCTCTGAGTTTTTCCAGTTGTTTATTGAAATGCACCTAGTGTTGTGACATCAGATCTTTTTCTATATAGGATAGGTGATGGATCATATACTTCAGCTATTAGATATGTTGTATGTTGTAGATGTGTGGACACAATTAAAGATGTTTATGACAAGACAACAATACTTATAGTAATAGTAATAGTCTTCTTTGAATCATGATCTTTGTGAGCAGACTGAATGGCTTAAGACTATACTAGTTAAAGATGGAGGTGTGTCTTGGAAATTATCACTACAATATCAAATCATCATGTTTAACCAAACAAATCACATAGATATAGCAATTGACACTCCCACAAGTCTGAGCCATGTCGCACTTACTCTACATCCACTTCCTTCCCTGACTTTGGAAACAATCGTGGTGGCACATGCTGTTGTTACCAGGGATGTACTTTGACTGAAATTGTTTGCCCTCTTTTTGCCATTTCTGCTAATTATGTCTACCAAAACAAAAAAAAAAAAAAAAAAAAAAAACATCAGATGGAAACTCTTTAATGATGAAAATTTAATTGAATTAGCCTATCAGACTCTATATGGTGAACTTTTACCCTGAATTACACTGATCTAAAACAAAAACAGTCTCATTCACACACTCAGCTCCCTGGTATACTGTTAAACTCCATCAAATGAAATCCCTCCTCCTCTCAGACAATCCTTTCAACCTAGATGCACATCAAACATACTATAGAAAATGAATGAGTGCATGTATTACTATGTTACTCATAGACTCTGGTCACCTCAACATTCTCATCCTCCTGGACCTCACTGCAGCTTTTGACACTATCAACCACACCAGTCTTCTCTCCTGCTTTGAGTCATCCCTCAACATCACCGGTACTGCCCTCCCCTGGCTAAGGTCATATCTCACAGACAGACAACAGTGGTCAGTGTATGTTTAAAGCAACATTATGCAACAATTTTACCTTAAAATAACAGCTTCAAAACCATTTCTTGCACAATTTAATTTCAGCTTAAAAGACGCTAGCTCTGTATTCTCTGTACACATCTGCCTGCTACACACTCACATGGAAAATAGCAAAAAAACACCTTTCATGTTATGTATGTAGAGTTTTGCCTAAATTTGCTCTACCATTTCACATCTAGGGTCACCCATAATGTGACCGCCCCTGGAGGTGTCTGCATTTGTAGTTTGTAATACGTGTGAAAGCCCCTCAGACATCACCACTAAGAAAAAATATAATAAATCCAAACAAAATAGTTCCTTCCCTCTCTGCTATTTCTAGGCTGGCTTTCTTATATAATAAAGTCTGGTTTACTTTCTGGTCTTTGAGTAATGTATTTTTCTCATTCGTGTGCTTTTTATTTTAAATCTCAGTTACCAGTCCACACTCAGTGCCATGGTTTGTGCTGGACTTGTGCTGGCCTTGAGTCCCCATGGACTGAGCGACTGTTGGCCATAGTTTTAAACCTTAACATCATAGGGAGTAAAACTCTTTCAAATGAAAAAGAAAAACTCCTATATTGAATATGTCTCAGGTGACTGGATGGTCAATACCCAGAAGCTGTTTAGTATGAAATAAGAACTTGGACAGACTGAATGTCCGAAGCACTAATGTCCGTGGTCTCTAGTAAAAAAAGTGCATTTTTGCCAAAGGGTAGATTTACACAATACAGATGTGACATAATCATCACACACAGCACACTTACAACACATTGCAGCACAGCATATGGACAATATTAAAATACTGGTTTATAAAATGGTGGTATCAAAATGGCAGTCCTGGCACTGACTACATCTTTCCCTTTTCTACTCTTAACTTTCCTGTTGCCCTGCGGCTGAAGAGGCCTTTGAGATTAAGTGTCACTGACTTTGCATAGTTTTTTGCATTAAGATCAAGCATTTAAAAATCTGATTTCGGTACTGCAAATTTTACAATGTAGACTTTAGACAGTCAGACCTGATCTGCAGATCTGACATGTCACGATGAACTACTGTGCCTCCTCACTTCTTCTGGGTAAGTGAATTTATGTTTTAGTACAAATGTGTGACAATCTCCAAACTTAATTGATGGTAGCATAGTCCCTATGAATATGATATGATTTATTTCAGATTAAAGAAAAGACAAATTATTCCAATGAAATAGTGGTTATTATTATGATGAATACATTTAAATTGATTTTGTCAGTGGTATTTAAAGAGATCTTGAATAAATATAATGACTAAATGTGGTTAAATGTGTGAACATCTCAATGTCTAACATGGGATGTGTCAAATTTGTCAAGAAATTATTATTTCTTCTTTAAAATGAACATGGTGTTATTCAATATGTAGAGAAATATTTTTCAAAGCACTGAAAACTTCTCTTTGACTCTCCATTGTTTCTCTTTTTCTAGGCTTACTAATCATCCCTGTCACTTGTGATTTTCCTCCTGGTACGACTGATATCCATTTACATACAGTACTCACAGACAACACAAAAAAAGCTGATGTGTGAAATAAACATTAAATCATCATTATTGCCAATATTTCCTCGTTTTTTGCAGGTTCTTGTGATGGATACACCAACATAACTGAACCATGGCGCAATCGAGACTTTAGATCTACGTCTGTCTCTGTCTATCCTAATGATGATACAAAACTTCTTAACCATTGGTGGCGCTTCACAGGCATTGGTGGAGACAGAGTTATTACATCCTGTTTATCAAAATATCGCGGCGGCACACAATATATGATTTCTATACCATTTGCATATCCAACGACAGAGTCTGTGACCCCTGTAACAGGGACCGCATATGTTGGTTATTTTGGTTATTGTTATTTCCTGCCTTCAAGTGTGAGTGTGGCTCTCTGTCCTGGAGGATTCTATGTGTACAAACCATTAACTCATAAATGGTCTTACCTTATGGGATACGTCACTTGTGAGTAATATATTTTCAATTTCCCTGTCATCATATAAATCATGGTTGAAATAATTATAATATGAAATATATTTATATATAAGATTTCTTTAAAAACCAATAACAGCGTTAAAAGATTAAATGACCCATCAGGGCTCACGTTATAAAAATTTAGTTTTACACATGATAAACAGTTGGAATTATATATAGGTTTGGAATAAAATATGTTTTTTTTGCGACATTTCAGTCAGATTTACATATTCACATTTCATTTTTAGGACTTTCCATATATGCATAATTCTTTGCTGCTTTTAAATCGTCATGTCCCAATTAATATCAGTGCCATTGTTTTTCTCTAATAGATTATACAGATAAATTAGATTACAAGGCTAGAAAGGGGTCGGTAACATAAAGTAAATTATAAAAAAAACAGACAGGAAAATCTTTTAAATATCTAAAATATGAGGAACATTGAAAAGACTCCCTAAATGGAGACTTTAAGATATCACAATTGAAATACCGGATGAAATTACTTTGGAAAGTGAGCATGACATATTTTATTGGATTGTGGAATTGGGTCATTATTTTCGGCTATTTATTAATTTAACTTTGAGGAAAGGAAACTGTGGTGTTGAGATGTAAAACATTGCAGATGAAAGATTAAATAAGGCCACTGAACACCTGCAGTAGCTGGCCTTTCAAAGATTATTCCATGTGCAATTGTGAAAGAAACATATTTTTCTAATTCAGTCCTGTTGAAGAATCACCCATTTTTACAAATTGTAATCTATTAGTTTCAAACTACCGCCAACTAACAGAATCATAACCAAGTACAAGTGTTCTTGAGACATATTTTTCTAATTCAGTCCTGTTGAAGAATCACCCATTTTTACAAATTGTAATCTATTAGTTTCAAACTACCGCCAACTAACAGAATCATAACCAAGTACAAGTGATCTTGAGAGTAATGAATGACCAACAGTATTGAATGCTTTAGGCAAGTCTATAAACAGACCAGTACAAGACTTTTAGCTCATGTCATTTAAAACTAGGGAATTAATAGGTTGGTAAATTATTGTTTATTATTTAATTATAATATATATTTTATCTCTGTTTAGATCATTATGAGTGTAAGCCAGACTCCTGTGGACCCCTTGCTGAGTGTTCAACTGAAGGAGGCTGTACTTGTGTTCCTGGCTATGAAATCCCCCCTACACACCTTCCCACTCCAGATTCATATGGTTGTGTAGGTAAGTACATTTTGTTTCACCTGAACGGTAGAAAATGTGGATATTCACCAAATAATAATAGTAGAAATCATAGCCACCACCAGGCTTTTTGCAGTGGGAGAACAATTTTTAAATACTGAACAAATGAAACAGCTAACCTGGTGATCTGCCAGCTGTGCTGCTCTCATACTTTTACCCAAAGACACTTGGGAGGTTGCACTACTGTCACCCCTGTCGTTACTAAGCAACCAAAACCTGCTCCAATTTAGAAATAAGAATTAAAAAAAAAACTAAATCAAAGTCAAAACAAAGATACATGGATTACAAGCACCATAATGTAGCTTTACTGCTCAATTTGTGTGGAGAATAGAAAAAAAAGAGCCTTCAGTTTGATTGCCTTTTTAACCGCATGTTGTTACCTGTCCTGTGGAGGTGATCGGTTCATTCTTGTCACATGACCTGTGTTGAATTGCTGCGTTCAAAAATATTGAAATTGTTTCCTCTCGTTGCACCAACGACACGCCTTAAAAACGCATGTCACACACGCTTTCCTTTATTTGAGCTCAATAATGTATGTGTGCTCAAAAGACGCAACAGAGACTTTCATGGTTTTTTTCATAAAATAAGAAATAGATTGCATAACCAAGCATCATAACTTGGTGAAATAATGTGTGGTTATGTTGTGATTTTTAAGACGAGTACATAAAGATATTTGTAGTACTGTGGATCTATAGCATCGAGAGGCTTAACCAACTAACATCAAGGGCCAGCATGTGCTCTTTAAGTATACAGAGTTTGTTTTAATAGTGTATACCTCCCTTAAAATCTTGTTTACATACATCCTATCAGACATTGATGAGTGCCAGACGACTGCAGGGATTT